ATGGTTGTATGTTTAGAAAACCAACTACGTTGCACCCTGAGAAGAAGAAGTAAACCACTTACAACACAAAGAGAGAGGCATGTTTATTATATTTATCCAGAATATTAAAACTTATAAGGAAATGGATTAAAGTAATAAAAAAACCAAGACTTATGAGTAACAGCCAACACGTGGAAGTATTGAGTGCCTCCTGGTATCATATGTTATCGGGAGCAAATCTTCTGTTTCTCTGCTTTCAGTTGGCGTTCTCGCCGTGCTCATGTTGTACATGAAGCACAAACATATATAGCACTAAACAGCTATGAAATATTCAAAATAGGTTGTAAAGGAAAAAATTCAAATTGATTTGTTTTTCATGTTGTGCGTGGCTTATTACTTGCTTGGCCCAAAAAGAATAATCATTAAGAGGTGAGTATGGCACTAAGAATATGTATTGCACAGGTAATGAGAAAAGTAAAATCGCAAGAAAATTATGTCAAGCCCATGCCTGTGAAAGAGAGGATTTCACCAAAGCCCTTTCAGATTGGCAGTTCTTCCACTGATCAACCTATAGTTTTTCAAATCAGCTGGCCTCAAGCAGCAGTCCATCCACCATAACCTGTAGGTCTTTTCACATCCCAGGAGCCCTATTTTCATAACATTCAATCAACTCAATCCAGCAAAACGAAAAAAATCCAAAACTAAGAAGTACTCTACATATTTACCAATTTATCAACAATCAATCTAATTGCTACCCGAAATTTTTACTACAAAATTGAAAAAAAATTGAATAGAAAGAAGGAGAAGAAGAAGAAGGTATGTCTAGGGCTTACCTTACTCCCACGTTGAAAGAAGAAGAAGAAGAAGAAAACATCTAACTTCACGGTTTCCTCAATTTGCACGATGTCATCCACTTTTTCTCAGATAGGTGAGTATTGAAGAGGAGGAGCTGAAGAGATTCATTATCTCGAAGGGTCTGTTTAAATGCGAAACGGTTGTAAGCTGGCACTAAGAATCCACATCACCCGCCATCTCATCAGCCACGTGTCAACACCACAATTAGATAACTCTACTTTATATATATATATATATATATATATAATATATATATATATATATATATATATGTATGTATGTATATATGTATATATGTCTATATATATATATATATATATGATTTTCATTTCAATTATTTTTGGACCATTGCAGATTGATTCTAGGGAAAAAAGAAGTAAAAGAAAACAATACCAAATATGATACGTAGTTATCTTATTCTGAACATTAGGACATTGGTACTATTTTTTTGTACAGTGCATAATATCTTATTGAGTGCTTCTATGGTCCACCTTGGGAGCATAGCATTTTTGTTGACCTTCTCACATAAAAAACTTTTTTTAATACTTTTAATTAAAACAATAAATGCCTATTTAAGTAATAAGGAAATGCTTACTTTGCTCATATGTAGGTCCATGGTGGATCTTAGGTCCACCATAGAATTTTCCATTTTAATAACATCTAGAAGTACTTAGAAAATGAATTCAATCATTCATTTGCTAAATTAAGCTTTAAAAATAAGCACATTCTTTGATCAGATGTGGGGATGGACTTTAATTTCATCAAAATTGCTAATCTTTTTGTTCCCCAGTTTGTTTCATGAAACTCATTAAGAAGCTGTCTAAGTATAGGACATAAAATCGGAAATAGAATAACATTTAGAGATAATCCCTTTTCATCACCCTCAAATTAAAAATTAATAGACAAAAACTAAATTCAAGGACACAAAAGAGAAATTATAGTATTTAACTAGTAAACCCCATAATAATTATTTGTTTTCATATTGGAATGATCCAAATATCTCATATAGAATAGAATAATTTATTAAAGAAGAGAATGAATTTTACCTTCTGCGGCTTGCATCCATCAATGGAGAACAGTGTCAAATTTGCATAGAGACGTGGTTGAGAAAAACCAACACAGAGATAGTAGAAATCCGATATTCGTATGAAAGGAGAAAGGATAAAATCGATGGATTGGTCTGGTGAAAAGATGGCCAGAAATACACCGAATTCATAATCACTTCGTTAGAAAAATTGGAAAAGGAAAAGAGAAAAAACCTAAAATGGGGAAGATCAGTCGCAATAAGGGATGAAGAAACCGCAGTTGGCTTTGGTTGGCTTCAAGAATATCGTGCATAAGCTCGAGGAGATCGTGAAGAGGATATGAGATTTGGAAACTCGTGATTCTAGAGAAAGCTATTTAGGGTTTATGGCCTTTCACCCAAAAAAATACGGAGGTGTGATGATGATGGGGTTTTGTCTATGATTCTGCAGAATTGAAGCTGCTATGATGCGGTGATGATGATAAAGAAGAAGGAAGACTGGTGATTGATGATGGGGTTTTGATGATCGAAGATCGGTGATGATTCTGTAGGGATTTGCGGTTAGAGCATCCTCATCGCACGGACTACTCAGGCGGAGGGAGTTGTTACATTGGATATGGAGAGGTTAAAGAAGGGCTTCTCCTCCCGAATTTCGAGAAGAAAAAGGAGTACTACTCCACCGCGGAGTAGAAGGAAGTGAGATAGGAAATGGCCAATCCCTATATGACATGTGTCACTTTTTCTTTTTCTTTTCTTTTTTATGACAGAGTAATAATATTGGGCTGTAGAAAAAAAATATTACGGTGGAATTGAACAAAAAAAATGAATGGTTTGAATTAATTTGAAGAGAAAAATTCAATCGCCTTTCGTTTTTACTTTTGAGAAAGCATACTTTTCTTTCTTTCTTTTTAAACACTTACTGTTTTTTTTTCTTCTAAATATTTACCATAATTAAATTTTTAGAAATGAAATATAAAACTTTTATAATTATTTTCACCATAATTAAAAATTTACAAGTTCATTTGTAGTAATAAATTTAATTATATGTTTGTAGATAATTTTTGGCTCCTTATTGGAAAAAATAATTAACTTTTTTAAATATATCAATGAAGTACTCCCTCCTTCCACAAATAAACTTCCCGTTGCGTGTTACGATGTTTGACAGAAGTTATTTTAAAATTATTTTATATAAAAATAGCGTAAATTTTAAAAATAAAAATTACATATTAAAAAATTATATCAAAAGATCTACAAAACTAAATGTGACATGACTATATTATTTTATCAAATGGGTGACGAAAATAGGTCAACAAAGTGAATAAAGTTTTGACCTTGTGAATAGTAAACGAGAAGTTTATTTGTGGACCGAGGGAGTACAATTTTTTTTTATTAATTTTTAAATTAAAATAATTGTATATAGCATAAATATTTAATAATAAAAAATCATTTAAGTCACATAATAAATAAAGGGAGAAAGATCAAACTATGACTAAAATATTGAAAATATATCAAAATAGGACTTCCATATTTTTATTCCCAAAATAGGACTTACATTACCAAACATGGTCATATACATTACCAAAAAAGTATAGTAATTTGCACATGTACACTGTCACATACCACAATGCAAAGTCCTATTCTGGGAAAAAAAACATGAAAGTCCTATTTTGGTACTTTTCTCTATGTTTTAGTCCTATTTAGGATGATTTCTAATAAATAAAATATTATTAATCCTTTTGATGTAAGGGCGGGGCTTCAAACCGGGGCTTCAAACCTTCTCTCTGTCACGTCAGCTTTAACTTACACCCAAAATTCACTGGAAATGGGTTTGAAGCCCCGGGGCTTCAAACTGATGCTTCAAACCTTCATTTTTTACATTTTTAAATATACATCTTCTAAAATTAAATTAATAAAATGTAATTACTTTATTATTTAATTAAATTTAAACACGAATAATAAAAAATACATTAATTAAATAAAAAAGCGACAATAATTTAAAAAAAAAATACATTAATAAAAAACTAAGGTAAATTATATTTCTCCTTGATCTCTCTTATTCTTTGCTCGTAGATCATTAGTCCAATCTCCGACAACGTCCCGAGGTCGGTTTGCATGACTTTCATCTCGGCCTCCTGCTCCTTTAGCTTCAACTCCTTCTCCTTTAGCTTTAACCTCTCTTGTTCTTGGAGATTGAACGCCCGAAGTTGTTCAACCATTGCCCGCCCGATTTCGTCGCGGGAAGAAGCGGAAACAGAGGCGGACCCTCCCGAACCATAGGCAATGGATTTTGCCTTCTTTCTTCCGATTGGCCGTGGAATGGGGTCCTCGTCATCGGAATCTGCAACGTTGAATGGAGGGATTTGATCGGTAGAACCGATAGTCTCGTCGACCTCAACCTCGGCGTCGACGGTGGAACTTTTCCGGAACGATCCGCCGTCGGGATTGTTGATTTGTTGCCACTTCGGGGAACGACTCAAAATCCTCCAAAGATCGATGGGCACCTTGCCTTAATGCCCGTCGTCTTGATACCGTGTCGTGGCAAGCCGGAGAACATCGGCGTCGTTCATCCCGCTCCTCCGGGACCGGGAGCATTCCTCGTAAACTCCGATAAACTTTCGGACTTTTTTGTTGATGTGGCTCCATTTGGAAGTGAGTTGGTCCCGGGTTCGGTAGGAGCCGTCCTTTTCATCGCCGTGAAAAACTTCTCCTCGATACGATTTCACATCGCATCCTTCGTTTGCTCCGTACCTTTAAAAATGTATTACACAATTTTTTAGACACCATTAAATATAATATATATAAATAAAAACATAAATATATTAGAAAAAATAAATTTTTTACCAATGATAGGATGCTCGGAGACGTCAACCCAAGCCGACGCCAATATGCACTCCTCCTCCGGCGTCCACTTTTGGATTGACCGTGCCGCCTCGGTCAACGTGCTTTTGGCTTTGTGGCTTTTCCGATGTGTACTTTTTTCGACCTGGACGGTTCCGGTTGAGTCTCCGGAACCGAATCTCGGTCGACGTACCCTGATTGTTGCGTCTCGTACATCGGCGGTCGATCGCCCAACTCTTGGTAATACCACATCGCGGTGTCGCTTGCGCGAGATTGTAGGGAAAGAAGCCGGAGTCGGAAGGATTCATGTTGAAAAGAGATGGGGTGATTTCGAAATTTAAAAATTGGGAAGAAGAAGAGATTAAAGATGGAGAAGGTGTGAGATATAGGGAGGGGGGTTTGAATTTATAAGAATTTTTTTTTTTTAATTTAGGTGTGCAACGGCTATTATAGCCATTAAGAGCGGAGGGGGAGAGGAATGACGCAGCGTCATTCCTTTGACGCACGTCGGATCACGCTCGGGTAACGCCGCCAGGGGCGGTGTTTAACGCCCTCGGGGCGTGAAAACAACCCTAACGACGGGTGGCGTTATGGGTATACCCAGTGAAACACCTCGGCCCCCACCCTAGCTGTAAGTGTCCGCTCATAGGATTGTAGACTGGCCCCACAAACCAACACAAGTCTTTCTCGCATACTTTGTCCTCACTCGTGCGCGCCCAAGGAAACTTCACAGGGGGTCACCCATCCTAGAATTGCTCCAGGTCAAGCACGCTTAACTTTGGAGTTTCTAGTTGATGAGCTCTCGAAAAGAAGATGCACCTTGTTGGTATGAGTAGTACTATCAATCCTTTTGAACTCTTCCCATTCCCATCTTGATACGGGGTATTACATTCACCCCCACTTAGGAATGCAACGTCCTCGTTGCATCCTTTTTTTGAACCCATAGATCTTCCCCGCTAAGTGAACTAAGCTCTTTTGGCCCGTCACGGTCGCAGGGTTGCTCTGATACCATTTGTAACACCCCGGCCCCCACCCTGGCCGTAAGTGTCTGCTCTTAGGATTGTAAACTGGCCCCACAAACCAACACAAGTCTTTCCCGCGCACTTTGTCCTCACTCGTGCGAGCCCAAGGAAAACTTCCCAGGGGGTCACCCATCCTAGAATTGCTCCAGGTTAAGCACGCTTAACTTTGGAGTTTCTAGGTGATGAGCTCCCGAAAAGAAGATGCACCTTGTTGGTATGAGTAGTACTATCAATCCTTTTGAACTCTTCACATTCCCTTCTTGATACGGGGTATTACACCCAGTGCTTTAAGAGTTGAGGAGAAGTAAATGGAGGAGTTGTGGATTAGACACACAAAATATGATGTGGATGAGAGATGTGGAAGTACTCCTCCCCTTACTCCTCCACCTAATGTGGGTGCTCTTAGGGCTTAGTTGAAGAATGAGTACTAGTAGGTTTTAGAATGTGTATTAGGTTATTCATAAATGAATATTCTACGAATGTGTGAAAATGAGTACTACATTTTTTCAGAATGATTAATATTATTTTTCAAAATGAATGTTTATGTTGATACGAGAATGAATATTATTTTACTTCAGAATGAGTACTACCTGGATGTACCTATCTCTAGGTACATCCGGATGTACCATATAAACTCTCGAGGTGTGGCGAGATCTAACGTGTGTTCCGTAATTGTCACATTTAGCCATTTAACGTGGCTAAAAGTATCATTTTTTGTAAGCGAGTTGACTCGCCGATTTTAATAATTGACAAACATAAGTTATTCAAGTCAAGAATAAAGTGCTATATTGATAAACACAAAGACTTGAAGTGTCAAGTCCCTTAAAGTATTCAAGAAGGAGCACAGAATTTATTGAACACCAAGATGCCTAACGGAGCGCCTTACGAAGTGAAGAAGAAGATTTCTGAAGACTTTTAATTTATTTGAGTCTTTAGAAATATTGTAAGGATGACAAAATAATTCTTCACTCCAAAATTATTTTTATGAGCGTTATATAAAAATAATATTTATTTTTCGAGTTAGTTGAAAAAATTCCTTTTAGCTGTTCAAAATTGCTTTTATTGAGTCAGTTACAAAAGGTGTGTTAAAAAATTTTCAAAATACTTATTTTGATATTTAAAAATATTTTTTGTTAGCAAAAATATTTTATTAAAATAATTTTAGACATCGTTTGACACACAAAATATTTTAGGGATTCAATTTCTACACCCAAATTTCATTTAGTTATTCAAAAATATTTTTAATACTCGCTGTGGATATGTTGGGAACAAGAGGATTTGGACAAAAATCATTTCATCCCCGCACACAACCTTGTGTTCTTCTTGTCTGTGCATTATTTATCGTAAAAATCGATTATCCCTTTTGAAGTAATCGATTACCATCTTCTTTGCGCATACGAATAGCTCCCAGGGCTCAATAATCGATTAATCCTTTGTGCAATAATCGATTATTTCATCAAGAAGGATTTTTTGTCGTTTGGACGGTAGTAATTGATTTTCAACGAGAGAATGAGATTGGGCTATAGGTGTTTGGATGGTAGTAATTGATTTTTAACGGTAGTAATTCTCTTAATCTTTGCTGGACACTACACGCCAAAAGAGGAGTCACGAGCACAAAGCGACAAGGGAATGAGACAAAACGCTTCAAGACAAAATGGGAAGCCACCTCGCACCATTAGAGAACATGGGTCGACGTGGACGCGCGGCGCTCTGTCTCCTCCCTTTCCTTATAAATACTTGTATAACAATCAAAGGAAGGGATCCAAATTCTTCTCTCTAAAACCCTTATGTAATTGCTCCCGTGCACTTTACTGTATTCTAATAACAATTGGGTTATAGGTGTTCTCACCTACAATCCTCCCGGTTAACCTTTATGTTTACTACTTTTTACATTCTCGATTCCAGTAAACAATCCTAGACCGGTATAAAACTGTTTACCCAGTGATTAATTTACACCATCACTTACAAATATACTCCCTCCGTCCCACTGTATTTGTCTAGTTTGACTTTTTCGAGTCAAACTGGATAAACTTTGAGCTTCAATTAAATAAAAACCACAATGTATTTTAACATAAAAATGACTTTATTGGATTTATCGTATTGCGAACTTTCAAAATTGTATTTCATTATGCTAATATGCAATACAAATTGAGAGTAATTGGAGTTTAAAGTTTGTTCAGTTTGACTCGAAAAAGTCAAACTGGATAAATAGATTGAGACGGAGGTAGTATTATTTTATGATAAATATTGCATAAATAAAATGACTTGCAGCGTAGCCGCAATAATTTTTTAATATTTAACATTTTGATATTTATACTAATCTTATATTCTAATTAATATTTTTTGCAAACTTAGTTTTTTGTATGAAAAATAAAAATATTTTTTTTATTTTAAAGGCATTCATTAAGATAATGTGATAACAACAACAACAACAATAACAATATTAATATTTTATAACAACTAGAATTAGAATGAGATTTTACTACTTTTACTGGGAAAAACTACTTAAGATGAGGAGCATCTTTGCAGGGATGACAAGGGTTGGACAATATTCCACAAATCAGGGCTACACATGGATTCAGGGGCAACAAAGGGAACCATGCTGGACTGCTGCTGTATGGAATAAATATTCCATGCCAAAACATAAGATCATTATGCGGCTCATAAAGTGAGACTGAGCAAGCTCTTTCCCGTAGATACCACTTGTATATTTTGTGATGAAGGGGAGGACTGTCAACACCTCTTTTGTCCATGCATATATACGCGAAGGGTTTATCTACAGGTTTCATCTAGATGTGGCTATACAATACAAGGGGGGACTTGGAAAGAGATGATGGATAACCTTAGTAAGATCAAACCTAACAAAATCAGGTGGAAGGTGATGGCTTTTTTTGCAGCAAGTGTGTATGCAATATGGAGGGCCAGGAATTGGAGAATACACAAGAATACTAATATACTAGTGGTCTACCCCGTGCTTCGCACGGGCTGGAGATGTATTCACGTGTCTATAAAATGTAATCCACAACTCATATGGCCATACAAAAATGGTCCTTAGAATGACTAACCATTATCCTATAAAGTTCAAATTAGATACAGAATATTAGAATCCAGAAGTAGAAAATTAGAATCTAGAAGTGTAATTGGTAAAGTTGCAAAGTTCATGAAAAGGAAGAATAGACAGTAACGCCCAAAACATCAAATAGGCCGAATAATCAGGGCTAGGAACCACCTCAGTAGCAACGCGGCTTTGGCTTCCATGTAGCAAGTGCAAACAGAATCAAAACTTTTATAGCCTAATCACTTTGCGTCTTTGAAACATCTGCATTGCAATCTCCTTAAAGCATCCCAGCCTAAGCATAACCTACCATTTTACATTTTCGGATTATATAAGATAAAAAGGCCAATTAATGTACATGACCTTACTCAAACAGTATGCTAAAATCATCATAAAATAACCATAAAATTCATGGAACAATCAGGAACATAGTTTCACAAATCCCTTAACCCAAAAAGTTGTTAATAGCCTCAAACTATCATAGTTCCATAAGTCCTTAAACTCAAAAAAATATCAACATCCTCAAAGAAGGAACAAAAACTATGAATTCCTATACAACATAAAATGAAAGAGGCAATCATAAATAACAACAAATTTGATGACAGGGATAACAACATTTAAGAGACATACATATGCAAGTTTATTAATTATTAATATCAAGCTACGATTCAATCTCAGTCACATGTTTGTAGTGAGTACTCCCGGAAATCAACCTAAAACATACATACAGTTGATGATTTAAAAGACTGCTCACCTTTGAAAGAGATTATTGAGACCCTTATGGCTTCCTCTTAGAGAATCCATGTGCAAAATGCATGGGGCCCGGGCTATCTTCTTCATTTCATCATCTGCTTAAGAGTTTCTGTTATTGGAGATATCATCTTATGCAAAATTGATAAAAGTGAAATTATAAGTTAGCAATCAGACCTCGATAGCTAGACACTTCGCCAGGATGAAAGATGACAATAAAAAAAATCTTACTATAGAGGGTTAAGAATTACAAAAAAGAAGGCTAAAATATTTTAATGGTAAGTATGAACTGCTCTCCTACCTGAAGTTTATTGAAACAAAAAAGTAATCTTTTTTAAAAATTTCAATTTTCATTGTCCATCTGCAAAATGTGAATGCGCTGAAAGGCTGCCTTTCCTTCACAAGCTTGAGATGGATCTTTATCCAGACCAATAAGCTTTTGAAAGAAAAAGCAATTAAAGAAATGAAACATGTGCCTCTTCTCTGAAGGGATATTATTCATGAGATACCTGCCAATTGTTTTGTATATATTGAAATATTCTTTATTTGACAATATCAGAGCAATTCAAGAAAATAGCATGAACCAAAATACAATTCGAGTGCCAAGCAATGACATACGTGATGTAAAATTCAATAATACGGAGTAGTATCATTGATAAATGTCTCTGGTTGAAGCAGAACAAAATTCATATGCTTAAATTAACCAAGCAAGAACTGTGAATCATCTAAAGCAAAATAAACAAAATTTACCAAGCAAAAGAAAAAACAGAATCCATATGCTTAAATTAACCCAGAAATCATCTAAATCAAAGGACTTCTGAAGCATAAAATACAAAATGCACGTACAAACGCTGAAGATAAGAATACCTGTAGTTTTTCTAATTAGTTTCTGATTATTGAGAAGATAAGAATACCTGTAGCAATAGAAATGACTTGGGCCTAAATAGGTGGTACTTACGATGAAAGTTGAACATCATGGATTGAAAATTTGAACATCAGAATTAAAGGAGAAGAAACTGGTGCAGCGTTTGTACGACCTTGGAGCTTCGTTCACTGCTCCTCTAACTCTGATAGTTGCGGCAGTTCATTGGCCTAATTTTGGAATCTGGTGAGTGCATAATTTTGAATGGTGAATAAGTTTTGTTGAGTTTAGTGAGTAAGAATTACGAGATATGCGATTCCTATCTACCAGTTCTTCTATAGAAAGTGACTCCTCTGTACTGTGAGCTCCGAGACCTGGGCCCTCTCTTACTCTTCTTCACTACCTGCTGCGGCTGAGCCGGCGGTGGCGGCCGCTGTTGTTTCTCCTCCTCTGTCCGCATCTCCGCCCGACACAGGAAGGAGAGATCCATTGGGTCCGACCCGGAAGCTCGACCCGGATTCCGAGAACATCCCAGAAACGATCGATCTCCCCGAGTCGCTGCAGTTCCTTCACCTGAAAATTGGTATGGATTGAGAGAGAAAAAAACTCAATCGTTTCTTTTTCCAGTGGTAAGTAGTAACCCTCGAGAAAGATTATCCGGGAAAAGTTATCATCCACATCACGTGCCACGTTGGAAGACAGGTGTCAACCCCACACCTAATTAACCCTACTTTATATATATATATATACATGATCAGTTGAAGAAACGACACAATGGATTTTTTACCTTGTCCACACATTCGTGCATGCTAAAGGAGTACTCTATAGAGACTAATTCAGATTGTTTTTGTTTCTCCCTGATGTTAGTTGTATACGGACTATGATGTACATGGTTTTTTGGTTAAAAAAGAATTAGAATGAGAATAATAAAAAAAATACACAAAAAATTTTTTTAAAAGTTTTTTAGATTTTCCAATTTTTTCTAGATCTTTCAGTTTCAATTAATTTTTTTCAGTTTCTTCTAGTTCTTCCAATCTCTTCCAATTCATTCATGTTTTCTCCAACATACAGCTCTTTTTCTCAAGTCTTAAAGAACAAGCTCTTAATACGAAGTACGAATCAATTTATTTCCAAAATTTAAGGAATGGAAATAAACTTATTCCAAAATAATAGAAGTAATTAATGAGTACCAAAGAAAAAGAAAATAGCCGATGGATTAGTAATCCAAGGGCACATCAGGAAACTTTTATCAAAATAGGTCCTATTAGAGGGAAAAAACTTGATTAGATCAGGAAACTTTTATCAAAATAAGTTCTATTAAGGGAAAAAAACTTGATTAGTCTTACTTATGTAATGAAATACATCACATTTTAGTTTATTCTCAAGTACTTTTTCTATTTTTTGCACATATCTCACACTCATATTTATAAAATAAATTAGTTATGGAAATTCAATTTATTCGTTTTGGTTCGACTTTGAAGAGTGAAATCAAAACCAAACCAAATAAGAACTCTTCGGTTCGGTTTTTATTTTCAATTTGATTTTTTTATTCGATTTTTTAATAATTCGTTTCGATCGATTTAGATTCGTTTTGCAATTATTTATTTTTCCAACCTTAGTAAATATTCAAAATATGGGTTCAAGTTTTAGCGGAGCAGGGTAAAGGATTTTGTCTTGGCAGCTGCAGCTATCGGTCTAGGGTTTCTCCTTATCGGCCGTCAAAAGATAGTAGGTAGTCCAATTAAGAGAATAGGGATGGATTCGTTCTCAATGCCATCAAGCGGATCGCCCCCGAACGTTTCATCGGACGATCTGGTTAATGAGTTAAAAACTACGGTTGCCGAATTTCATTTTCAGCGATTCTTCGAGGTACCTTATTATCTTCTCCCTTATGCCGAATTTCATTCTTTAGTGGTTCATAGCTCCTAAAACTGATATGTTTTTTCAATTTTCCTGCACGAGGTCTTACATTTTCTGATTGTGTTCCAAAAGCGGATGTATATTTATGTTTACAAATTGTTGTTTTTACTTGGTAAATCTGTTGTATATATTAAATGTCAGAATTACTGGATTTTTTATTGTTAAATATACTTGTTTTAAGTTTTGTTGTTTTTTTTCAATCCTGAAGTACTTCTCTTCATCTTTTTGTATGTTTGTTTGATCAAAAATCCGTCTTCATATAATGCTCCCTTTTTGGGGAAATTTTTTGTCCGGATTTAGTTGTCCACTTTCTTTAAATCTCATTTTAATGGTCTGATTTTAAAGTGTCAATAAGTCCTTCAAATAAATTTGTGACTCTTTCATGTCAACAATGCTCGTAAAACATGCTAATGATATTTTATTTTTTTTTGAAGTATGCTAATGATATTTTAGATAATTCATCATAATTTTTTTACTGAATATGGAGAGTCGACAACTAATTTTGGACAAGCGGAAAGCATGAAAGTGGACACCAAAATACGGGCAGAGGGAGGACGATTGATCCTTCTGTCTTCTTAACATTTTGAAGCTTCTGAGTTGTACACAGAAGACCTGTCATGTTTATGCCAAGTAGAGACTGATTTGTTTGGGTTCTGCATATTATCTAGCACAAATCTGTGATGTTATGATGGCAGTCTTGAATGGATAATTTTTTGGCTACTTGCCTGTAAAATGTTTTCCAAATGCGGCATTAGGCCTCCTGATGATTGGCTATGAATTTTGTGCTTGTTTAGCATTGCTGCTTATTCAATATTCAATATGTACTTAATGACAAGCACGGCCTTTTTCGGCATAAAAGCTTTAGTGTATGCTCTGTTACAACAGGCCAAATGGATTCAGAGTTTTCATAGCCTGTTATTGTTTCTCCTGCAGATCTATTTTACAATATTGCAGTTTAGAACTTAATAGGAGTAATTTGTATATAAATAGAATTGTTGAGCTCTCAAGGTGTTGTAATGTTTTTATTTGAATTGTCCCAGACTGTGAGAGACAAATGCTTTGAGAAATGCATCACCAAGCCTGGGAGCAGCTTAAGTGGGAGTGAGAGCAGTTGCGTCTCAAGGTGTGTTGAACGATATTCTGAGGCCACCAGCATCATCGGCCAAACTCTCCTCAACCAGCGCCATTAGAACTGTGTTCCCAATTGCTGCATGGAGGGTGGTGTCAAGGTTTAGACTGTCTTTTTATTATAGATTATTACAACGCATGTCATTTCCTTATAATTTAATGTTTGGAATATGAATGAATTTACTATGGATAATATAATATCCCTGATTTTTCCATAATCAACAAGACTATTATTATTATTATTATTATTCGAATAATAAAAACCAATTACAATTGAAGTACATGTTTTTATTTTACTCCATTTTTTTTGTCTCAAAAATTAAAAAAAAAACATATATAAAATATTGTCAACCTTGTGTTAATCTAGGGTACTTCGAAATAAAAAAAAATATCGACTTGGGATACATCCTTTCCCTTTGTTTCGACTTATATGTCGTTATTATAGTTACTGCTTCAAGGTGTGTAATATGTACTCGGCATAAAGGTCCCTGCAAAGATATGCCAAAACACATCAGTGTGTATTAATATACAACAATGAGAAATCATGCCAGAATTGAAGGCAAAGATGAAGCATTGAATGTGTATGTCTTACATTGAGTACTGAATTGCATCAACAGCGCGGCCCGAGGGCAGAAAGTCATTCACTGCAACGTTCTTGTTCTCGTTCTTTTTGTCTAAATATGAATCAACCAGGAAATTATAAGCACAAAATATTGGTTCATAAACAGTTTCCAATTTAGTAGAAATTAACTTGTGGGGTGCAATTGAAGGGGGGGGGAGGGTGTTCGGGTCGGGACGGGGGTGGGGGGTTTACCGGGGGGTTAGGTGAGGTAGGAACTGTCAATTTTACGAACGGGACACCGGAGTACCCCGGGTCATCCCTTGACATGGGGTTCCAATGTCATAGGAACTTTACCGTAATGTAACATAGTAAAATGACTAAGTTGCCCTTTATAACATTTGCTTGTTAGTTTTATAATCATTGTTGAGAAAATTCATTATTATCTTAAATATCGCACGTTTAGCTTAACCAACAATCATTTAGAACTTATCGAGTATATAATTAGTCCAAAAAAAACATACAATCTTCAAAAAAGCGACGGATTTCAGCCAAGCGATGAGGAGGGAGCTGGTTGATGTCGGTGTAGTGGCGGTACTCTGGATCGTCAGCGCAAACCGCTATGATCTTATCGTCCATCTCTCCCTATATATACATACATATATGTACATATCAAATTGATTCATTTTATCAACTACACAGCAAGCATATAAGCATATGAAAATGAAACAAAGAACCTGATCGATCATGGGCATCAACCCGATGGGCCTGGCCCGAAGAAAACAGCCGGGAATGGCAGGCTCCTGCATGAGGACTAGCACGTCCATTGGGTCGTTGTCTTCACACAATGTGCGAGGAATGAAGCCGTAGTTGTGGGGGTACACCACAGATGAATACAACACTCGGTCTACCTATACGTGGACCCACCAGATTTAAGTTTAGTACCGGGTATCTTTTTCCCGCAATTAAATTATCATTTATTTATTGCGGGGGAGAATATAATGAAATACTAATGGGATGATATATAGCTACAAATGAGTCAATACTTGTGATATTACAGACCTTAATCAGACCAGTTTTCTTGTCAAGCTCATATTTCACTTTGCTTCCTTTTGTTATTTCAATGACCTGGTATATATATGCAGATTAGTATTACTGGCTACCCTGGAGTATATAAAAAAAACTGGTTTCTGAAATTTTTCATTAATCGAAAACTATTGATGTACTCACCACGTTGACAATGTTGGGAGCCTCAGCTCCTACATACATGAGGGAAGAAGAGGAAACCAATTAATGCTCCAATATAAACAAAAGATAAGAATAAATCACAGAAATCATCCTTTATAGTAATGATTTTTCTCTATTCTATCCAATTTGTTCTATGCTCAAATTGGACTAGATCAATATAATTCATATTAGATCACATTAGAAATCAAAAGCATATACTCCGTACAATTTTTGTTGGAATCAAATCATGTCAGAAAGATTCAGATCAAGTTAAAAAGAATCAGAGTAGATCAAGTATTGATAAAATTATATCGGAACAAATCAGATAACACTATTCTTTTTTTAATAAAAATATTTTAGATTGCCTGACTAAAATTTGTAAAAAAAATACTAGTAATTATTTAGTGTTATTATATTCTCAAGAATAAAATATAAATAAAATGTAAAAACAAATGGAATCTTGGGTAAATCATAGAGTATGTCAGAAACAAAGTTAAAAGAATACGGAGTATAATCCAATATTCACTCACGATGAAAAGTGGAAGATGAACTATATTAAACCTTTACTAATGTATAAAATTAAAAATAATAATGTTGCTCCTTATTTTAAAAAGATCAATACAAAAAAACTCCCTTTAACATGTGAACAAGGAAATACCAATATGAATAGAAAATGAGGATGCAATTTAACTTTTAGGTATATGAGTGAATGACTTTGAATGCAGAGTTAGTTCTTTTCTGGTCTTAAGGTCCACATGTAAAATGTAAATCTTCTCATATTTTTATGAGCTGACTAGTAGATTTTTTATGTTTTGTAAAAGTTCTAATTCTTACATGGTCCTAAGGTCTAGGTTCATTTTATGAATCTTAATGTATTGATATGATAAAAGAATTGGAACTTTTACAAAATATAAAAGAACCACTTTCCAGCTCATAAAAAATGTGAAAAGGTTACCTAAAAGGACTAAAACATAATGACTTTTCCAATATAGGACCATATGTTTTTATTTCCCAATATAGGACCTTTGGTCATTATCAAGTAGTCATTATTCAACTAAATATCCATCATTACTGGACATTATTCCTTCCACTAGATCATTATTAATTTCTATTTAGGGAATAAAAAAGTTTAAGTCCTACATTAGGAAAGTCATTATGTTTTAGTCCTATTTAGTGCAAATTATTTTACATTTGGACTTTGATCACGAAAGAATAACTCTTAAAATAATATAGAGTATACAATTTTAAGAAAATGTGAAAATTGAAGTTTTCATGATAGATGGGTAAAAGAAGATTGAAAGAAATACCAATCTCAAGATCATGCCAGGGATGGGCGGCAACAGATCTCCTTGACAAAGAAGAGAGAATCCTCTCGTTCAGTCGGGGAGCACCCGTCTTCTCAACCCCCGCACCTTCTTCTTCTTTGCTCATCTTTCTTTTATTAGTTTTATTTTTTATGTGATTATTAAAAAATTCAAAAAAAAAATTATAAGAAGAAGAAAATTGTGGAGTAAATGTGTGAAGCCTAATTTATATAGTCTTGCTTTGTTACACAGAGCGCATGTATCGGCCATCCATCTCCCTATTGGCCGTGTTTGATTTATTCAACTTCCCACAAAACGTGTATAGGCTCTTTTTTTTTTCTTTTGCCAAATAATTTGTTGAGTAATGCTATGTTATATGTTGCCCCCACCTCTTTAACTGCCCTATATTTTCTCTGTTCTTCTCGTCTTCATTCTATCCCAACGGACTAACCCACACTCTCCTCTCTTTTATGCTCCCTGGCTTTTTTAAAATCCTTCCTCTCTTATGTACTCCATATTTTTTATGTTTTTAACAAAACACTACCACATTTAAGAGCATGGACAATAGTTAGATAAAAATTAAATGTCACACAGTGACGTGACATGTTTTAGCTAATAAAAAATGTAAAAAATAATAGGTAAAACAAAAGTTCTGTTTTGAATTTTCTTGTTGATTATCTAGATTCAACCCTCTTTATATAAGAAAAAAGGTAAAGAAAATAAGTAAACTATTATTTCACCATAATTCTATTTTTTCTAGACCGAGAATTAAACTAAAATAGGAAAAATACCAAATCAAATCCCTCTGAGACTTGGTCCCTTCTTGCACCTCTCTCTATCGTAGCACCCCCTCAAGCTGAAGCGCGAGGATTACGAGTGCCTAGCTTGGAAAAAACATAATCAAAAACTCTTTGTTCAAGTGTCATCTCAACACTTCAACAAATAATTTTTCTTCTTCAACAGAGGCGCACCCAGTTTGAATCCGCCGAATAATCAATCGAGTGCAGGAACACCACTCTTTTCAAACCTTCACCGAATTCAAACAAACACGACGAACACCATTCTTTTCAAATATCTTGAATGCCATTTTAAAAAAATTCGCCTTGAAGGAATTGTATGTCCTCGTTCTGTAGAACAACCCTTGTTGGACGATTTCTTCATGACTCATATTCTTTATTGAGAAGGACATCCATCTAAGGATGACGAGAGTGACTTGCGACCAAAAAGACCTTGACAATTGGTGCGACACTTTCCACAAACCAATATAGATTTATTTTTGCAACAAAGTGATGGGCAGAAAGAGTATGAAATGGTAGTGATTCTTGTAATTCATTATAGGTAGGGTTTAGGTTTGAGGTGTTGTCGATTTGGTGATGGGATTTCAACTTCTCTCAGATCTATTGTCTATTGTCCTTTGAATCTTAATGTCTTCCGTCACTTCTAATAATATATTTTGTATAGATATTATTCACTACGTCACAATGTCCATAGCATTTTTATGTCTCTACGGTAAAATTGAAAAAAACACAATAATGTTGAAAGAGACTGAGATTATATTTAATGTCATTTTATCTATGAAAAAGAATGATACTTATAGTGTTTAATGGCCATAGTCAAAATTTAGTGATTAATTTTCAAAAAAACTTTGTAAATAATTACTAGGAGAAACCCACAGATAAAAAAATAGTAAAAAACTAGATTTGAGAAAGAAAAGTAGATCAGAGCAAGAAAAGTGAAGGAATTTTAAAAGAGCTGGTCGGCAACATACAGGGTAGCGACGGTGGTCGACAACACACCGGTCATCGGCTGTGGCGATGACTAGTGGCGGAACACATGGCGATATATGCATGTGCGAGATGTGTGGTGGTGGAGGTGTGAAGAAGAGGGGGAGGAGGAGGAGGAGGTTGTGCGGTTATTGGAGATGAGAAGAGGAGATGTTTGATTGGGTTTAGGTTTAATATTATTAATCATCTATGTATAGGGGTATTTTAGTAAAATAATTTTAGTATTTAATAATTAATTAATAAATTAACTAAGTCCTATACGTAATTAAAATTATGAAGTCCTATTTAGAGAAATGAGTTAGGTTTTAGTCTTATTTAGAAAAAAAATTTACAATAGAAAACTAGTCTTGTTTCATCTGCAACCTTGTGGAATTATTAGGGCTTTAGGAAAAAAATAGTAATGTATTATTGGAGAAAAAAATTAGAGTGTCACTCAAGAAAAAAAAGTTATAGTGAGTTTTCAAAAAATATGGGTAGTGATACTGAGTACTGACACCCCTCTAAAATACTAAACACGTCATGTCAACTAAATACACCTTGTGGTATATAATTATGTTAATTTTAAAAAAAATTGAAACAAACTTTATTGTTTAAAAAAAAGTATATAATTTTTAAAACTATCAAAAATTGTATTTTATTTTATTATTTTTCAAATTATATATATATATATATATATATATATATATATATATATATATATATATATATATATATAGTTTGGTTCTGGTGAGAAAGGGATCTAATGAAAGAAATAAGAATGCCTTATAGCCATTAGATCTTGATCCATCTAGATGATTCTTATTATTTACATACGGGGCATTTTGGGATTTTTGCTTCTTAGTCGTACCTTTCCTATTATATCTCCTTAAATTTCCGCAGGTCTTCCTTACTTTTTGGCTTCCGTTTCTTCATCTGCGAAGTAATTATCTTTGTTTCTTCATCAAAGGCCAAACTTTGCAGCAGAAATTGAGGTTTGTTCTCCTAATTTCTTTTCAATTTTTTGATCAATTCATCATCAACCCATGTTTCTTTTTAATTTTATGGCTTTTCTTGAGGTGGTGCAAAATTTCTCCGAGGTTTGAGATCGGCAAAATACTCCCAAAGACCTGAAATTTTATGTGATTTTTTTGCTGGTTTCCTTTCGTGGTTCGTTTTTTTGTGTGTTGTTGTTAGTCTATTTGCTCAGCTTTGGTTCAAGGCACTATGATGAATACAAGGTGTTTGATAAAATGCCTTAAAGAATCAAATGAACAAAATTGGTGGTGAGGACAGCCTTAATGCAGTCGAGGGATCTCTTAATGCCTCAAAACAACCTCAATATGCATTTCCATAAACTGATATTGCACAATCAAATGTCTCACACAAGGTTATGCATTCTTGTCGTGAATAATTTATAAACAATCTTTTGTTTGCTTCTTTATTTATTCTAATATTTAAGTTATGTGTATTTTTTATGAATATATACCAACTCTTGAATCAATGTTTTTGTTGCTTCTCTTGTACTCAAATTTTTAGGTTCTCTGCATTCTCATAGTCAGATAATGCATTCTTACTTCACAGTGTTGCAAAGAAAACGTGAGGCTTTTGGTAGACACCCCATTCATGCTATATTCTTTAATTTTTTTTGTTCATTTTTTGTTAATTGGATATGCATTGAGGCACGATGATAATTAAAAATGAGTTTTTTTGTTTCTATTGAATCTTTGTTTCAATAAGATTTTTTCCTCTTGCATATACCTTTGTTCCTACAGAACTCTTTTCTGTTTCAACTTTGTTACTATGGGATTTTTTTGTTGCATTTTGTTATACATCTTATCTCAATGCTATACAATCTTAGTTGGATATTGTTTTAAACGCACCATTCTTTGTTGCTTAGTAAAGTTTTGGTACATCACAGATTCACATTTTAAAGTGTGTCTTGCATTTTGAAGTGCATGTCTTGCATTTTGAAGTGCACGTCTTGCATTTTGGTCAACATCTATCTTTTACAGAGTATATCTCATATGTAGATGGTAAATTTAATATCTGCGACGAAATTGTAGATGGTAAATTACTCAACATTGTGGCAGATTTAATATCTGCGACGGAATTGAAATTCCGTGGCAGATCTGCGACGGAATTGAAATTCCGTGGCAGATCTGCGACGGACCTGCAACGGCATTTTCCATTTTTTATCAAGACCAGAACTGCGACGGAATGATAAAACCGTCGCAGATTTCATGTGCAACATTTGACCATCTTGGACGTCTTCGAATTTGCGACAGCACCATATTTTCTGTTGCAGATCCACGACGGAAAAAGTAATTCCGTCGCAGATAGTTTTCATTTTTCAACAATAATTCATCCGTCGCAGATTCGTTGCAGATTTGCTACGGAAATAGGTCCGTAGCAGATTTCCGTTGCAGACCAGACAAATTCTTGTAGTGTATTCTTTAATTTTTTTGTTCATTTTTTGTTAATTGGATATGCATTGAGGCACGATGATAATTAAAAATGAGTTTTTTTTGTTTCTATTGAATCTTTGTTTCAATAAGATTTTTTCCTCTTGCATATACCTTTGTTTCTACAGAACTCTTTTCTGTTTCAACTTTGTTACTATGGGATTTTTTTGTTGCATTTTGTTATACATCTTATCTCAATGTTATACAATCTTAGTTGGATATTGTTTTAAACGCACCATTCTTTGTTGCTTTGTAAAGTTTTAGTACATCACAGATTCACATTTTAAAGTGTGTCTTGCATTTTGAAGTGCATGTCTTGCATTTTGAAGTGCACGTCTTGCATTTTGGTCAACATCTATCTTTTACAGAGTATATCTCATATGTAGATGGTAAATTAGGTCACTCTTATAATGCACAGATTTACTGAACATATACAGAGATTGTTATGATTTATGCATTTATCAAAATCTTTCATTTTGACCATTATTTGTTTCTTATATGACATCAGATGCTCCTAGGGCCATGTTTAATGCATATTCAATCCCTATCTTGCATTTTTAAGTCTGTGCATTGCACTTTGAAGTGCCTCTCTTGCACTTTGATTAACATCTATCTTTCATATTGTATATGTAGATTCTAAATCATGTCACGTTTTATTAGGGCTGATTCCTACAAAGATTCGGCATATTGTGGGCCAGATCCACACATTAATGTGAGTGTATGACTGCTTCTTTGTGTATACTTTTTTATGAATGGTTGAATATGAAGCTTTGTAACTAACTAATTATTTTTTGGATTGTTTTATATGAAGCTTCAAAAGATGCATATGAATTATTAATTTGTAATTGCTTAAAAGACATCAAAACATATATTAAAAAAATAATGCATTTAGAGTATGTTGTGATGCATTTGAATGCAGGTTAGATACATGCCATTTTGATGCATTTCAATGCAGGTTAGATGCAAGTGAGTGTTCATCTTGATAATCAGACTTGATAAAGATGTCTTTTATTCTTAGAAGGGAGATTTCATAGTGATGCAATTTTACCTTATTAATTTTTGCAAATGATGATGCATCTAAAATATGAAACTTATCCATGAGATAGTGAATTTCTTCTAACAAAAATATGGTGCATATCTAATTGAGTATAGATTAAAAACACATTGAATGAATGAATGAATGAATGAGAATCTCTTTGAAAAAACAAATTGTTGCCTATTAGCTCAAATGGTAGAGCACTATGTACTACATGTGTGGGTTCGAATCCCACATAGGCAAACTATTTATCATATTTGTATTACATTCATTCCCAATACATTGCATTCTCATTCTTTCTCATTACATACATAGCTACATAAGAATCATTTTTCACTAATCTATAAATTAATAAAATAAAATTAGAATAAAATCTATAGAACAAATCATGATGCATATATCGCTCATCACAGCATATCACAGATTCACAAAGCGTCTCCCCAAGATAAATTTTAAAAAAGGGATAAATTAAATACATTTAGTTGAATTTGTATATCCTACTTTAAAATATAAGCAGAAGATAATATCATAATTTTATATTCAATATTGGTGTTGTTATGTAGATCTCGACGAGAGGTTTCTTATGACATATTATTTGTCAAGAATGGACTTATATACAAAAATTTATAAATATAATAGACATTGTAACACAATAATTAAATGAAATGAAAATTAATATAATAATACTCCATATAATAATATTCCTAGATTGAGTAATTTACGGACACTCCATAAATGCATTATGAATAATGATTTTACCAAATTGCCCATATGTAATCATTTCTCCCTATTTTAGTGGAGTCGTGTCACTCCTTCCATAAATAAAATTGAAGTTAATTATGGAGACTTTTAAAAGTTTAGCCATCTGATTAACTAAATCTAATGGTTAACATTCATTCTCATTTCTTTCACCAAGAGTCATTCTCACCTGAACCAACCCCTATATATATATATATATATACACACACATATATATATACACACACACACACACACACATATATATATAGGTGGTTCCCCCCTGTAGAGATGGTCACATGGTTGATTGGCGAACCACACCACTCGGGTTCGAACCTCAGAAGGGGCAACTTTGGGGGAATTTTAAGAAAGTTAAGCGTGATGGCCATGGAGCATCAGAAATGATGGGTGACCCCCTGGGAAGTGTTTGTAGATTTATGGGGTTGGGCTTTTAGATTGGGCAATTTATAGTGGGCTATCTGTCTCGGGTGTTTAACGGGCCCCGGGGCGGTCACGAGGTTAACGGGCCTCGGGCCCCCTGCTTGTAATCGACCATTTCAATAATATTAATAAAAAAAATTTTGATATATATATATATATATATATATATATATATATATATATATATATATATATATATATATATATATATATACCCTGTCCGTAATTTCGTAATTTATAGTTCACTTAACGTACCTACCCTATATGGTAGGAACTGTGTTAGACACCCATCTGATCAGTAAACGTGAAGCCCTGTCATCGATTACCTACAGTATGAGAATGTCTTAGTTTCATTTGAAACTTGGGATTTCACACTGATAATATCTATCAATATACTGATAATATCAATATATGCTTTTACAGGTGCGTATAATGTGTTATGTTTATGAATATTTTAAAAAGATAATATCAATGCAGCCACTACCTTGTCATTTTAGAGTAAACAACCCTATGAAATGGGTTTGTTCACTCAAAAGGGCAACAAATTATGTAACTACTTTTTAAATTACGAAATTACTCTAGTATATATATATCTGTGTGTGTGTGTATATATATATATATTGAAGCCCAACCTAATCCCACACTAGAGTGCATACCTCGCCCAGGTAAAGGGAGGCATGCCTTGCAGTCGGCCAAGCCAGCTGGGCTGTAACCGAGTCAGTAATGGGCCAATTATGCACACGGGTAGCAAAGACTGAATCTTTGGAAGCAATCACGTCAATTGCGCACAGTCGCGTTGATTGTGGGAAAGGTCAAGACTGGTGTTGCAACCACGGAGGAGGCCAAGTCGAGATTGAGCTTACTATGTTATCTACTTATCTCCTTCATTGTACATCCCCACTGGGAGACCTTTAAATAGAGGCATAACCCATTGTAAATGACTTGCACAACTTGGCATTATAATACTACTACACCATTTTTGTCTTCTCAAGCTTTCAAATATACTTCGTATTCGTTTGTAGTACCAACCGGATTTGGCTTTTCGGGTCGGGGCATTCTGGTGGAATTAATTTCCATCATTATATTATTTATTTCATTTTCTAAAAGAAGGCTATATAGCATTAATTGTTTTTTAAAAATGAAGCTTTAAATAAATTTTAAAAAGTTCACACCATGTTTCCTTTTTTGTTACATTTTAAAAACTATGATATTTATAAATATGAATAGATGTGTATCATTATTAAATAGTTTTTCGTGAGAACTATATTTTAATTTTTCATTATTTAAAATAGTTTTCATTGCTATTATTTTCAATGGTAATTAATTTTCCATAAAACTTTTGATTTTGTAATTATAATACCAAAATGTATTCACCATTTTAGTTTTTTTAATCTACATATTTGATGGGATATTGGATTTTCAAGGTTTAAGCCCAACCTAATCCCACACTAGAGTGCACACCTCGCCCAGGTAAAGGGAGGCATGCCTTGCAGCGGGCCAAGCCAAGCTGGGCATGTAACCAAGTTAGCGATGGCTGAATCTTTGGAAGCAATCACATTAATTGCGCACAGTCACAGTCACTGTGGGAAAGGTCAAAACTGGTGCTGCAACTACGGAGGAGGACCAGGGTCGAGATTGAGCTTACTATGCTTATCTCGGGGAGACCTTTAAATAGCAAAAAAATTACTGTCAGGTCCCATTATTTTTCTAAATATACTCCGGGGTACCTTAAATTATTCGAAAAATTACAAGGGGGTGACATTCCGTCCATGCCTCCGTTACTTTTGCTATCCGTTATCTTTTTCTTTTCTTTGTTGTTTCTTTCTCTCTTTCTTTTTTTTCTCTTTCTCGGACCGGTCCCCCTCCCACCTTCCCAATCCCCATCAGAGACCAGCGCGCCCTCCCCATTTTTAAGAAAGAAGCTAGTACTATATTTTTTAGAAAAATAGCAATACTTATTATTATTATTATTATTTCATACGGAGTATTTATTATTATTTTCATCGTATTCTTTTATTATTATTATTATTATAAATTGCTCCATATTATTTTTATTTATTATTATTACTATTATTCTTAAAATTAGTTATTATAAAATTAGCATTGATTTTTATTTAGGAAAATAGCACTTATTATTAAAAAAACACTTATTATTAATACTTTTATTTATTAAAAGAAAATAATTAGTAATTTTACTACTTTACTCTTTTATAAAAATAACAATACTTATTAGTATTACTTTGTATTAATTACTCCCTCCGTCCCGCTATATTCGTCCACTTTTGACTTTTGGAACTGTTCATCTAAGCACTTTGACTCATCAAATTCTCTCAATGTATAAGCCTAAATATAGTCATGCGCGATCTTGTTTGATTTGTCTTAACATATAGATTATTAATATATAATTTCTATAATTTTTTAATATACAAATTACAAGATAAAATGGATTAAAGAAGTGTATTGGATGGTGTGCAAAAATGAAAGTGGACAAATATAGTGGGACGGAGGAAGTATTATATATTTCTTATTTTTTTTATTTTTCTTCTATTTTTTTTAATTTATTGTTATTATTAAAAGTTAATCAGTAGTTTTGTTACACTTTTTTAAGTAAAATAACACTAATTATTATTTAAATTTAAACTTATTACTATTATAATTAAAAAAAATTACTAGTACTTTTACTACTCTAATACAATAACTAATAATAAAATAATAATAACTAATAATAATAATAATAATAATAATAATAATAATAATAATAATAATAAAAGAAGAAGAAGAAGAAGAAGAAAAGAAAAATAGAGGAAGAAAAAAGGGGGGAGGGATTTGGGGGGGGGGTGGTGGCCTCTAATCGGAATTGGGAAGAGAAAAAAAAGAAAGAAAGCGAGAAAGAAAGAAAGAAAGAAGAAGAAAAAGATAACGGATATTGAAAGTAACGGAGGCATGGACAGATTGTCATCCCTTAGTAATTTTTCGGACAATTAAAGTACCCCGGAGTATATTTAAAAAAATAATGGGAAACAATTTTTTGTTTAAATAGAGGCATAACCCATTGTAAACGACATGCTCAACTTGGCATTATAATACTACTACACCATTGCTGTCTTCTCAATCTTTCATATATACTTTATATTTGTTCGTACTATCAACCAGATTCGGGTTTCCGGGCCGGGGCATTCTAGTGGAATTAATTTCCATCAATATTTATTTTATTTTTTTAAAGAAAGCTATATAACTTTTATTATTTTTTAAAAATGAAGCTTTAAATAAAAAGAGTCTACCTTCTTTTTTGTTTGTCCTAAAAACGGTGCCACTTAATTAGATTATACCAGTGTAGTTTTAATTAGACATATTTTTATGGACGGGAGGAGTATGTGTATTTTAATTATATGTGTCCCTACAAAGCACGAAATTAAAAGTAATTTAGAAAATATAGAAGTGAATTTTTAAGATAATGGAGTCAAAATAGTGTAGGGTACGTTTAGTTTTTTTTGTGGGGTGTGAGTATCAACACCTGAAAATATTTAGGCCAAATTCTCTTCAACTTATTTTCTTTTACTTATTCCTTATTCTTATTAGAATCAGATTAGACCAGAGCAGATCAGAATAGATCAAAACTAGCTTTAAATATAACTACTTTCAGATAAGATCAAATCAGACCTGATCAGACTAGATCAGACAGAATTTATTCCAATCATATCAGAACTAATCAGATTACGTGAAGAGAACATGGTTTTAGTATCTTTTCGGGAAAAAGATTGCCGTACAAAAATATATTGTACCGCAAATTTTTTCTAATTATTCTTTTTAATCATTTCCTAGAACTTAAAAAGTTTATAGCGTCAATTTCAAAACTTTAAAGATGTTACACGAAAAAATTCCAAACAAATTATCGGAAAAACAAATGTTTTTTTCAAAATGGAACTAAGGGGCTGTTTGTTTCAGCCTCTTAATGGTTCAGATGTCTGAATGGTTCAGCACTTAATGGTTCAGACTGTTTGTTTCAGGCTCTTAATGGTTCAGATGTCTGAATGGTTAAGACATTTGCCTCTGAATGGTTAAGTATTATACAGAGTCTGAATGGTTAAGACCTCTTCTCTGAATTGATCAGACATTTGCCTCTGAATAGTTAAGCAATATACTAGCTCTTAATGGTTCAGACCTCTTACTGGTTCAGCACTTAATGATTCAGACCTCTTACTGGTTCAGCACTTACCTATTCAGAAGTTGCCAAACAACCCCTAAATTATTTTCACAATTCAATACAGTTTCTGCAGGTACTATGTACATTTTTTTAAAAGGGATACTATGCATTATTTTTTCGATAAGTTTTGCAATTTTGCGCACTACAAATTATTTTTCTGATAGTTTTCCTATAGTGGGGCACTAGAATTTACTTTTCTGATAATTTGGTTTTTCTTTTCTAAAATAACGTTACCCGGTACTATTTTTTCTCAAAAACGACACAACAAATTGTTTTTCTGAAAATCCATTACTAGTTTTTTTCCCAAAATGACATTACAAAAAATTGTAAACCATTATATTCTTAAAGGATTTAAAAAAATCTTTGACAAAAGCGTACTGTTATATTTTTCAAAACATACTCTAACATTTTAAGTTTTCTTAAAAAATTGCACACCTCCAAGCCGCCCATGACCGCGAAAAAAAGTAGAACTATTTCAGATAATTTTTTCTTTTCTAAACAAAGCAAAAACCAAATACATCCTTAAAATACATGTAAAAATTTTAAGATTTTGCAATATTGATCCTAAATACGGAGTAGCAAATCTATGATAATACCCACTGATGGACTTCTCACGTTGTTTGGCAAAAAAATATTCTTGAACTCTGATTAGTCAATGTTGAAAGATACACCATGACGTACTCCATGTCGGAGGAAGAAGTGATGAGTAAGTTATTTTTGAAGGGAACTGAAGAGCAAGTTGAAAACACATAAAATGGTAAATGAATGAAGTGCTCCCTGATAATAAAAAAGTGATCCCTTAATGTAACATTGAAAATTTGTTAACCATACAAGCAACACCACACACAATACAAAAGAACACTAGTCATTTCGTACCGTAACTAGGCTCTTTCTATCTGAATGGTGACATGGCTAATATTATACTCTCTCCTAATATAATCGATGACTTTATCCAACACCATGTCAGCATCAGCTTCGGGCTTAATCTTGACATGGCATGCTAATAAAACTTTTCCCACAGTTATAGCCCATATGTGCAACTCATGGATAGCCACAACCTCCTCCATCTCACACATCCCCTTCTCCAGCCTCGTCGCGTCAATCTCTCGGGGCGTGCTCTCCATCAGCACCTCAAGAATGTTGCGCAGCATTCTAATGGTTGTGAACAGCACAACAGCAGAGAAGATGAGGGTGCAGAAGAGATCGATTATCTTCAAGTTTGGTTTGTACCATATGATTCCCCCGCCAATCATCACCCCTATGCTTTGAATAGAGTCTCCAAGGACGTGAAGATAGGCCCCTTGGATGTTTATGTTCCTTTGCTTCTTTTTAACATCTTTTGGTTCGGTGCCACCTTCAGAGCAGGCGGCGCCGAGCAGAGGCTCTGAATGACCTGCTGCTGCCTCATGTGCATGGTGGTGGTGGTGATGTTCGCCGGGTTCCTCCTCATCATGATTATGGTGGTAACCGTTGACTGTAATTTCATGCCTGTGTTTGTCATGAACATGTCCGTGCGCATGGTCATGACCATGTCCGTGACCGTGTCCATGATCATGCCCAAGCAAGACAGCCATTATGATATTAACTACTAAACCAAAGGCAGATACAGCAAACATAAGGAATCCCTGGACTTCGCCTGAATCGTGTAAAAGTCGTTCGATGGCTTCATAAATGAGAATCCCAGTAAGAAGCCAAATCAATTGTATAGAGACCAAGGCGCCAAGAATCTCAATCCTGAAGAACCCATAAGATTGCCGAGGGGTGGCTTCCCAACCTGATGCCCACAGGGAAAACAATGATATTGCAAAGGCTGCAACATCAGACAGCAGGTGGGCTGCATCAGTTAATATTGCCAAACTGTTTGCTTTAATACCTCCAACAACTTCAACACTCATGAAAATGACACAAAGCACAATAGCAATCCAAAGCTTTCTCATTGCCGATGCACGCTCTTGTGCGTCCTTAGAACTGGTGTTAGCATCTGAAAACCCACAAGGTCCTCCCCCGCAAACTTTACTCCCCAAAAAACCATTGTTAGCTACCGGAGCATCACCTACCTCAATAAGAACCTCTGTGGCCATCTGAAAATTACAAACTCACCATCAACAAAGCAATACATACTGTGTAGAATGAATTAAATAATTTTGGGATCAATGAGGCAAAGCATAAAAGCAAATCATTTACAATAAAGGTACTATCACTAAAGATGAAAACAAATGAAGGAGTGCAACATAAAATGGGTTGCCAATTGTAAACAATTAAAACAATATTAGGAAATCAGTTTAGTGACAAAATTTCTAAATTTATAGTGATAACTAACAACCTAGAAGCAGCAGATGGAAGAGAATTACAGAAGACCAGCCCTTAAAGAATCTACTCCCTCTAACTGATAAAGGTATGCCCAAACACACACACACACACACACAATATCACTTTACAAATCTCACTACATTATATATAGACAAGATTGTGTTACCTAGAAGATTCACATATTCTCTAGCACTTAATTTAGAACTAGGCATGAAAGATACTGGAGGGAAGGGATACAATGAATAACTACAGTATGTATATTTATGCTCCTTGGTATTCCCATTCAAATAGCTTCCTCTAAGCCACTTTAAAATCTAAGAATCATTAAATATTTAAATTCAAGTACACTACAAATCTAAGTAAAGCTGAATTGTGGATCGGTAATTGCACAAAACATTTCAATGAACTTCTTCAGGTTGAACTATTAAAGAATACAAGTATTAAAATGCCAAAGAACAACCCGGTGGTGATACGGCGTGAATCTATAGACAAAATTGGACTATCTATACCTAATCAAGAAAAACGGCAATCATAATCGGAAACAGATAAAAATTGTAACATTATACTCAAAAATTGAAGATTTTGAAAACACACAATCACTCTACAAAACATGCCATCAATGGATAATCGATATTGCCTAATAGAGAACCCTAAAACCCCCGAGCTAATAATTTCAAATAAAAAAGTTAAAAGTAGGATTTTTTTATTAGAGATTCGAGGATACCATTAAGATTTCGAAAACTTTTTAGAATCGAAACCACGAAGACCTTTACAGAGAGAGAATCGCTGAATCTGTACCTTTAGGTCGTAAGATTTGATTAGAAGAGGCGTGAACAGAGTTTTCCTCCGTACGACAGGATGAAAAGATGATACCAATGGGGACGTTAAGAGCGAGGGAGAGGTACATAACGTTTTGCTCTCCGACCCTTATGTTGGATAGGACTGGGAATTGAGTCTCGTACAAGTTTTAGTCTTATGATTAGGAGGGAAAAAATGATTAATACTCGTTAAATTATTCCATAAATCATTTGATTAACTACGTATCTACTCCCTCCGCCCGGAAATGTTCTTCCCGTGTTGACTTGGCACGCTTATTAAGGAATAATAAAGAAATGCAAAATTTTCAAAAATGCACATATTATAAACTTTTAAATCTCCTTTTATTATTAAAAAAGTACTAAAAAAGTAGATTTGTGATAAAATAGAAGGGTATTATTGATATTTAGCCTTAAAAATTATACTAAAAAAGGAAATGGGAAGAATATTTACGGACGGAGGGAGTAGTTTGTTTTGCATATCAAACATTTAGTTAAATATATACTACCTCCGTCTCACTGTCTTTGTCCACATTTGACTTTTGGAACTGTTCATCTAAGCACTTTGACTCATCAAATTCTCTCAATGTGTAAGCCTAAAAACAGTCATGTGTGATCTTGTTTGATTCGTCTTAACATATAGATTATTAATATATAATTTCTATAATTTTTTAATATACAAATTACAAGATAAAATGGATTAAAGAAGTGCATTGGATGGTGTGCCAAAAGGTAATTGGACAAAGACAGTGGGACGGAAGGAGTATTAAAATATATGGAGTTCAATGAATTAAATTTTAAAAATTACAACATAACTAACACTTCACCCGTGCGATGCACGAGGATAAATTAACTTCACAGTTAAAGATGATGACAGTAAATATATGTTATTGTTTTTAGCTTTAAAGATATAGGAATATCTCGAAATATAAATTGTAGTATAATTGTTAGGTTATTTATTTATTCCGATTAGGTTCAGGTCACTCGTAAAATCAGTCCATAATTGTGCACTACTATAGAACAAAAGGAGCAACACCCCAACCCAAATCTCGCCACACTCCACTCATAAAGAAACGGAGAAGAACAGAGATGAACACACAGAGGAAGAGAAAAACCACACGAAGGACTCACAAAGATAAACAAGAGGGGACACCCTCAATATATAGTAGAGATTTAGGAGCTAATTAAGGCAAGCTTAATTAGGTTAAGAATATGTGATGGGCTTGAGTAAATGAGCTGTTGGATTGGGTGTCAAATTATTATTAATACGTTTGGGCCAACCCCAAATAAATTAACAATCTCTACCTTTGGCCCAAAGTAGTACACATAGTTGACAAGGAACCACGGGGCTCATCATAGCCTAATAACCACTAAATGTGTAATGAACAAATGAGAACACACGTAGTGGTGGAGAGTTCACTAAGTACTCTCAAGTCACGAAGACTAGGCAACATCACAAAGCATGCCAAAAAATAACTCACAAAGAGTCGAACTCTACCATTGGGTCATTGAGTTCAAAAACAAAAGAAAAGCAAAAGTTACAAAGACAAAAAAGAACAAAAGATCAACACACAATCACAGAGATAGGTTTAAAATCTTTTGACATAAGGTAAATTTTTCAACAAGTAAACACTTAGTACCCATGTTAGCTGGATTAAACTCCGTAGAAATTTTCTACCAGCATGACAATGCCCTTTTCCACTATGTCTCTAATAAAATTAAACTTAACAACAATATGTTTTGTTCTATCATGAAAAACAAGATTTTTGCATAGTTGAATGACAGATTGACTATTAGAAAACACAACCACATTCTTTTCAAGCAAGCATATTTCAGATAAAAGACCTTTAAGCCAAATAGCTTCTTTAAAAGCATCTGTGGCTGTAACATACTCAGCCTCAGTAGTAGATAAAGCAACAATGTGTTGAAGTTGAGACTTCCAACTAATGCAAGAACCACACAAAGTGAACACGTAGGAAGTAGTGGATTTTCTATTATCCCTATCGTTTGCATAGTTAGAATCCACATAGCCAATCAATTTAACACTTTTATCACTTCTTGAAAAAGTTAAACCAAAATTCCTAGTAGATTTCAAGTATCTCAAAAGCCATTTTAGAGCATTCCAATGAGCCATACCAGGATTAGACATGTATCTACTCAAACAACTAAAAGGATATGCAATATCAGGCTTAGTGCTAATCATAAGATACATCACAGAACCAATAGCATTCGAATAAGGCGCACTTTTCATTTCATTAATTTCAGCTTTAGTTTTAGGGCACATATCCTTACTCAACACAAAGTGAGCAGCTAAAGGAACATCCATAGGTTTAGCATCAGACATAGCAAATTTATTCAAAATCTTATCAATGTAGGAATTTTGATTTTAAACAAGAGTAGATTTCTTTATGTCCCTAACAATATTCATGCCAAGTATTTTTCTAGCATCTCCTAAATCTTTCATGTTAAAATTTTTGCAAAGATAATTTTAAACATGCTTAATGTATTTTAAGCTAGGACCAATGATTAGCATATCATCCACATAGAGGAGAAGAAAAACATGAATAGAGAAAGTGTTCTTAAAATACAAGCAATGATCAACATTACTTCTCTTAAAACCAAAGTTTTTCATACAATTATCAAATTTAATGTTGCATTGCCTAGGAGATTGTTTTAAACCATACAAAGCCTTTTTTAACAAGCACACATGATTAGGCAACTTAGGATCAACAAATCCTTCATTTTCATGCATGTAAGTATTTTTGTCAAGATCACCATGCAAGAAAGCAGTAGTAACATCCATTTGTTTTAATTCCCAATTATACTGATCTGAGCAACTAAAGACAACATGATTCTAATTATGGTGAACTTGACAACAGGAGAAAAAAAATTCTACATAATCTATTCCCTCCTTTTGAGTAAATCCCTTAGCCACAAGTCTAGCCTTAAACCTAACATTTTCAGGTTCTTGCTTAACTTTAAACAACCACTTACTGTCCACAAGAGAATAATTATCATGTTTTGGCACAAGTTTCCACATTTGGTTAACACGAAGGGATTCCATCTCACATTTCATAACACTAACCCATTTTTCAGAATATTTAGATTCTAATGCTTCACGATAAGTCTTAGGTTCATCACACTCAAGGGATTCAAACACATGAAAAGCAAACTTAGACATATTACAATCATCAACTTATCTCACATGTTTGCTAATGGTTCTTCTATTTATATCCCTAGCAAGTTGGTAGTCATGCAAATCATTTTCAACATGTGATTCTACACTATCATGCTCCACCTCATTTGAAATAGTCTCATCTTCATTAGTGTGTGAATCATGGTTCATGTCAATATGAATAATAAAAGGCAATTGCTCCACCTCATTTGGAGCCACATTTTCTACATTGGGAATATGCAAGGACAAACAAGGAAAATTATTTTCATCGAAAATAACATTTCTACTTAAATCTTAAAACCTGGTTCACCTTTTACCCACAACCTATAACCCTTTACCCCGTCAGGATACCCCAAAAAAACACATAGTTTAGACCTTGGTTCAAGTTTATCATTCATTTGATGCACATAACTAGCACAACCACACACACACAGGTTTGACAAATCAAGAGGTTTGCCTGAGAAGGCAACTTTTGGGCAATTTCCTCCTAAAGGTATAGATGGAGACCTATTGATCAAATAAGCAGCAGTGCAAACAACTTCAACCCAAAATTTCTTAGAAAGTCCAGAAGTAGCTAACATAGCCCTCACCCTCTCTAAAAGAGTTCTGATCATCCTCTCAGCTACCCCAGTTTGTTGGGGTGTGTAAGGAACAATTTTGTATCTTTTAATACCCCAAGTAATACACAAATTATCAAGTTGTTTGTTGCAAAATTAAAGATCATTATCTGTCTTAAGTGTTTTTATTTTCTTTCCAGTTTGGTTCTCCATACACATATAGGGTAGAGACCCTACTTTTATGAAGTTTGATTGGGTTACTGTTATGAAAAAATGTATAGACTACTATTCTTTAAAAAATGAGAAGGTTCTACCAAAAAGGGTTGAAAGCTAATCGAGAAACACACATTCTCCCCATGTCCGAAAAGGATGCGCCAGCTTGACTTTTCAGCCTTTTCGATTTAACCATTTGGTCGTTAATAACTACAGAGTACTATTTTCTAAAATGATGAATAAATATTCGTATCGTATGATAGAAATATAATGTTTGAAATCTATAATTAGAAATAAGTCCAATGGCATAAACTTCACAATGTAATTAAATATAATTTTCAAACAATGTTTAGTTAAAGTTCATGAAATTTTGCCAAGAAATGTCAAACAGACTTACTTCAGAAAAGGAAAAACCATAGGAACAAAATGTCTAACATATGATAAACATAAGAATATCAACAAGGAAACGATGGTGGTAAGAGAAAATGAATAGGTTTAGGCCTTCTTCTGAATGGGGCATACTTCCCCATGTAGTAGTACATGCGAGTGTGATGGACAAAGGCCAAGGTCAAATTAAAAGGAAACAGAAACTCAAAAAACTAAAAGATTCACAATGCTACTTTCTCCTTGGGTTGAAGAATGGGCGGGTCAACATCGATGCCCATATTAGCTGCAGTGCCGGCGATAATCCTCATTGCTGACTCAATGCTTGAACAGTTCAGGTCAGGCAACTTTTCTTGAGCAATACCTCTCAACTGATCAATGGTAATTTTCCCAACTTTCACCTTCTTGGGCTCGTTGGAACCTTTATCCGCTCCTTGAAAATTAATCAAAATCATTATTCAAAGCTGCATCTCAGATATAGCACCAGATTTGATTCGTTTGAAGAGCAGGCAAACACGTAAGTGAATGAAGTCATAAACATAAAACATGTTAGCTACACTAATCAACACCAGAAGTAGCATCAGATCTTCAACTTCAAGGTAGGCAGCAAGAATAAATAATACGGAGCACTACGTAAGTATAATTTGTTCATCAACTTACCCACCATGTATTTGCAAATTACGGGAAAGGGTGACAAACCAAAGTAAACAAACTAAGTACAGCTTGAAGGAATATAGAAGCATATTTCCGATATGACCACGACAATGTAGCCTGAAGTGTGAGTGAAAACAAAGAGCAAAGGTATTGTATGAAATGCAAAAAAAATAGTGCAGCTTGTCAAATTATGAATAGATGTGTTGGATCTGGTCATCTTTTGTACTTCCCAAATTAATAGTCTCTGGGTCTTTCACAGAAAACTCATAGTTAGTTATTGGTAAAGATTCTGTAGATATCATTGAAAAGCCTTCAAAATGGGCCAATAAGTTGGTTAAGGGAAGCTAAGACATATGAATGTGTGTAAAGGTTTGGAATTCAAAGTGAAACAGTCAATCCTCAGAAGGGAGATGAAACAAAAAAAGGATAAATATTTCATCTTTCAGAACATGAAACGAAAAAAAAGGATAAAATGTTTCAACAAAAATCTAGCATCAAGTAGCTTAATTCCAACTACTTGGTGTCAGTATATGAAACTAATTAGCCCTACAAATTCACTTAATAAAGCATAGAGGGAATTTTTTACACCGCATGCCCTCCATGTCCCTACCTTCACACGAATGAGAATTCTAAAACTGTCATCATTTTAGGTCATTTTCATATGCAGTGGAAGGCCAAAAACCTACCTGCCGCCTTAAGTAACAAAACAGAAGCAGGTGGTGTCTTCAAGATAAAAGTGAAGCTTCTGTCCTGCATAAATGTCAATTAACAATGAGCATTCTTAGATACCTAAATTACAAACCTCACCATAGCTGTTATACTCAAACAGAAACCCTACCGAATTGCAAAATCCAATCAAAGCCTTAAACAACAAATTAAGCTTAAAGGGGGTTATGAAAACTCAGATCCCAATACCACAATCTCAATCTTATAATTAAACAACAAGCCGATGGTCGAAATAGAGTAATTGAGAAACAAAGAACTAACGTCATAGATGGTGACTTCAACAGGAATGACATAACCAGCTTTATCAGCAGTCCTAGCATTGTAGTCCTTACAGAAAGCCATAATGTTGACACCCTTAGAACCCAACGCCGGTCCAACAGGTGGAGCGGGCGTAGCCTTCCCCGCCTCCAGAGCCAGCTTCACCACTCCGGTAACTGCACACCAAATATTCAACACCCAATTTCAATCCCAAAAAAGTAGAGAATTCACACGGAATTGCGAAAATACAACTACCCATTGATATAATTTGGCACCTTTCTTAGGTTTTCCGCCGGGTGTTTTGGGTGGAGCCATGCCGACCACAGTGAGAGTCCTGGAAGAGGAAGTAAAAGAAGTACGCTTCCGGCGACTATGGAGGAAGGGGAGAGAGTAGTTGCCTGGGTTCGAAGGAAGATCGAAAGAAGGCTTAAGAGATGAGAACTTTCTCCCATTTCCGCAGAGATGGAGGCTTGTTGACGACAAAGAAGCTGCCATTCTGCCTGATTTCCGGACGAGAAGCCTTTCAAAGATTAGCTCGAGCGACAAGTACTAGATAAGAGCATGCCAATAGCAAATGCCATGACCATTCCACTCCACTTCTTATTTCATGTGTAAGGCATGACTCCCCCATTTTTTTAAACAATACTTTTAATATTTTTAATTTTTGAAAAAATATTTTTTAAAAAAAGAAGTAGACATATTGTAATAATAAAATAAATGTGTAAAATAATTTTTGATAATTAAAAATCATTAAAAAAAATAGATAAAAACAATGACTTGCCACTGTATGTTACGACACTCCACTCATTTGCCACACGGTGACTAGGTTATTTTTTATTGGTTGAAATAATCCATGTCACCGTGTGACATTTCATTTTTGTATTGTCATTGTTAAAGCTCTAGGTAAGATAACACGCCAATCCTGCAGAGGCAATTGACCTCTAGTGGCCTAGCTCGAGTTGTAGACCGGGCAAAAACACGGATCCCAGTCCCAACTTAATTTTTCGTTCAGGCCAAATACCATTCTTTATCTGTCCATTCGCCCGACCTCAAACTTTTGATTATATAAAAATATATTATTAAATTAGAAAAATAATTTTTACAACGTACAATATTACAAAGTAAAATTTTCACTATATAATACTAAAATATAGGTCATTTCTCATTGTGATTGATGGTGTAAATACCGTGCAAATATAAAGTACAAGTAAGCGGAAGGGCTGTAGGTGGAAATACCTGTAACCCAGTTTGTTATTAATGATATTGGGGTTGTTTACAAAGTACAAGCCGTGTGGATTAATTAAAGCATGGCTCAAAAATGAGGCTTTTAGTCCTATTTATAATAATGACTAAACACATCAAGCACATCTCTGTTCTTCTGGCCGGTCAGTCTTCAACCGGCCCGTATGCATGTCTTCGTCAAACGAAGCCATGCTCTTGATCCGGAATCTTCTCATACCCGACCGGCCAGGCTACCCGGGCTGACCAAGTCATGGGGTGTTAGATTCAAGTTCCTCCCGGTCGGTTGCGAACATACCGGGTGGAACCAATGGGTTATTACCCATCAAGGAGTCCTCCGATTCTCGGCTCAGTGGACACCATTAGGGGCGGGAAGCAAATACCAAAGTAATTTTTGAATTTCAAGTCCCCAGGCGATTTTGGAGGGAAAATGTCCTCAGGAAACCAGCGCCAAATATATTTGAATCTATTGAAATTTGAAATCCTAGGCGCGGAAGACGGGAGAATCTTTAAGGAAATTCGGTACGGCGCCGCCGATTTGTCGCGCCGTTTCGTCTCCCCAAGAAGTTATCATTACAAATCATTTCGCTTGCCACGTGTCGCTCTACCATTGGTTCGGCTAGGCGACACCATCCCTATATAAGGCGAGGTTCCCCACCAAATTTCTTCACTTGCAATTCGCTATCTAAAAATATTCCCGGTTGCTACTACTGTCTCTTGAGTCCTCCAAGTCCTCTAGTTTCAAGTAAGTGTTCTCTCCCCCTCTTCATTTCTTCGAGTCATGTCTGAGAACAAGGACAGTCAGAACCCTTCTGTCCATTCTATGGTTCTGGTACCCAGTCTCAGGCCTCCAGTTCCCAGTCTTCTTCCTCTTTTGAGTCCAGCCAGCGCCTGGCTACTCCTCAACAGGAGAAGCCGATTGACACCACCACTTCTACCCCTTCTACTTCCGCGGCAAAGGTGGTCATGGTGGCCCAGCCATCACTCATGCAGAAAGCTCATGTCCACGAGCTGCGCAACCTTCTTCCGGAAGGTTACCAATTGTCTTATCGGGCAACGTGGAGGAATATTATTTCCCTCCACACCGGTACGACAATGGGAAACCACTACCATTCCATCAAAGACTTGGGTGAATTCTCCATTCACCCGTTCAAAGTCCTCTTCTTCGAGACATACGGGATCATGCCCGGGCAGTTGGCCCCAAATGGTCACCATATGCTCATCAGTTTTATCAATGTTTATCGCTTCCTTCGCATCCCCCTTTCCCTCCGTCTCTTTGATCACATGTTTGACGTCTGGTCAGGATCCAAGGAAACCCTTGGATTTGTGATTGTGTCCTCTCATCAGGGATGGACTTTTCTTTCTGGTCTTCCTCCTTCAGGGGGTGGAAAGAAAAGTACGTCTCCATCAAATTTCCCCCCAGCGAGTTTCCTTTCACCCAAAATGCCTAGGGGAAAAAACTCAAGGTCCACGTCAAACCCGGGGAGACCGATGACCTGGCTGCCTGGGAAGCCACGCTCCGGGCCGGGGACACCACCACTTGCGGTCCATATAACATCGGGAAATGGAGTGTCTACCCCGGGCCGTAAACCGACCCGGAGCCTGCCATCGTCCGGGAGATGTGATCCCGGACGCGATCCCTCTCCGCCTCATTCAGGGCTCCCTTGCCCAGGCTTCTACCGCCGCTTGTTCCTCTCACCAGGGGAAGAAGAAGGAAAAAGGTCCCTTCCCTTTTCTCTTCCTTCAGTATTATTTTTAATTAGTCATTATCTCTACTGACAAGTGTTCCTTTTTTGTTGCAGTGGTGAAATTCAACTCCAAGTTCTCCATCCCCCACATCGAGGATGTTGAGGGGCCCTCCACCGTCCAACCCATCAGCCAGCAACCCCCCGAGGATGAGCAACCGGCTCAATCCCAGCAGGGGACCAACATCCCCATTCACTCCAGGGAAGTCTATATTGATATTGAAACCCTGGAGTTCGATAATATGCTCGGGGAGACTGGGCACAACTCAGAGGTCGGGCAAGGGGGCCAGCAGCTGGAGGTGACCGGCGAGTAAGAAGCTGTCATGGAGGCCCTACAGAGGAAGAGGCAGAGGACGAAGCTTGCTAACCAGTCAGCACAGTCCTCCGACGCTGGCAAAGCGCAGGGCGAGCCCCGGTCCCTGGCCCTTATGGTCCGGTCGGATGAGGATCTTTTCGAAGCCTTCTACGCCGACCTGAACGAGGTAAGCCTCCCATCCTTTTATTTTTCCAAATTATAAATTTTTGCAATCGACTTCTGAAATTTCCCATGTCTTTGAAGCAGGTCGATTGGATTGGCCAAGAATGGGCCACCCGGCTCGTGAAGACCAAATCCGAGGAAAAGAGCCAGATTGATGGGATGATGGTCGCCTTCCGGAAGGAGGCCCAAGCCGCTCGGCTAACGGTTGAGAAGGCAGAGGAGAAGCTCATGGAGTAATATGCGGCCTTCCCGTCTCTCTATGCCAAAAATGATGGTTTGATGAAGGCGTCAAAAGAGATCGATGCCCAGGCCTAGGAGAGGATCAGGGAGCTGGAAGAGTAGAATGCCGGGCTGGAGGAGAAGGCCGCCTGGTCGGCTGAGGAGGTTGCCCAGCTAAGGGCAGAGCTTGAAAGAGCAAGAAGCGGCCGGGCTTCTTATGCTGCAGCCTGGGCTGCCCAAGAGCCTGAGCAGTTTTCTGCCTGGGCACTTCCTGATCGGGAGACCGCCATCAGGTTCTTCCAGGACCTTTACAAGCATGAGGTGTCCGCCAAGGTCATCAACGAGATCGGGACCTTTGGCTTCGAGAGCGGCGAGTATCAGGATTGCCGGGGGCTTTATGGGATTCTCCAAAAGCGGATTCAAGGTTTTGAGCCGAAGGTCATGATGAGGAGCCGGTCCCTCCCTTCGAAGGGATTTGAAATGATGTACTCTACTTTTTTTATTTGCGATGTAATGATGTGCCATCGGACATTTGTAAAAACTTAAAACATTAATGAAGTTTCATTTTCCACACTGTGTACTGAATGTTTTATTTTTATGTTTGAATCTTGTGAATGCATCCGACTAGCTTTATTTTTTGAAATGATTTTTCAACTTTAAACTTACTACCGGGTAGATTATCTAGAAACGGCCTGGCTAAATCCATCCGGTCTAACATATTCAGCTAAGTCTTTTCAAAAGACTGACCAAGAGTCCGGGAAGAGATGGAGTTTGACTGATCTCTTTCCAGACGGTTTCTGACCCAAGCAAGAACAACACACCACACCGTTTTGAATTTTATTTTATTTTACCATTTGAGCAAGTTGGTAATATATTTATATATACTACTTTCAACCTAATCTTTTTTTAATTAAACCTTTTTTTAATCAAATTGTAGTGTGTTGCATGTGTTTGATTGGTATCTTCTACTTTTGCTTGCTGGACTTTCATTTCATTGTACTTGGTGTTTTATCTTGTTATATCCTGTTATATTGTGTTTCCTACCATATTTTTTGTGCAGGTTGAGCGAGGGGTCTCTTGGAAACAGCCTCCCTACTTTCGAGTAGGGGCAAGGTCTGCGTACACACACCCTCCCTAGACCCTACTATAGTGGGATTCAACTGGGTTGTTGTTGTTGTTTGTTGTTTAATCAAATCCATACTTTATTTAAAAAGACATGGATTCAAGAGATGGTTTTCCCGCCCATGCGTTATTGCATTAAAAATGGTAATTATTCACTTAAAATGGTAATGACAAAATGATAATTTTTATTCCATTAACAAACATGGTTATTAATATTACACGGTTCTATCAAAATGGTAATTTTTATTCCATCATTAAATGGCAATTAATGTTACATACAAATGTTACACGGTTCTATCAAAATGGTAATTTTTATCACATTATTATGGTATTAACCATACTAATACAAATGGTAATTAATGTTACACGGTATTAACAAATGGTAATTAACATTACATGGTATTAACCATAATATTATAAATGGAAATTAATATCACACGGTATTAACAAATGGTAATTTTTATTCCATTAACAAATGACAATTAATATTACACGGTATTAACCGTAATAATTAGGTTAAAATGGCGGAAAGGTAAGTTAATTATTGTGAAGTGAAATTTATATTACTTTTAACACACAATGCCTTTAAAAACGTTATATTATTAATCTAAAAAATTATTATTATTATTAATCTAAAAAAATGGTTTAAAAACTATAAATATAGTTCCTTTTTTATCACACGATATTTATCAATTCGTATAGAGTGTATTAATTGTACAATTTCTTACATTATTTTAACCTTTTTTTTTGGTAAATTTCATAGAGTTTCTTTTTTGGTAAAGGTAACTTATCCATATCCATACTTTATTTAAAAAGACATGGAGTCAATATTGCGTTTTCCCGCCCAAAGAGCATGGCCATTGCATATGATAATGTGAAGTTAAAATGGCAAGTGTCTGAATTTATAGTAATATAAAATTTAAGTTTATAAGTATAATTATTATAAAATAATTATAATAATTAAGTTTCATTTTTAATGTCCGAAATTTATACGAGCAAGAAAGGTAGGTTATAAAAAATATTTATAAACTTTAATACATGCCAATCAATGCTATTAAAAACGTGTGTATGATTATTATTATTATCATAATTATATAATTATATGATTACCGTGTGACTAGGTTATATAAAACATGTGTGTATAATTATAGTACGGAGTATAATATAATTATGGTAAGAATAATTATACACATAGTTTTGAAAAATTAATACGATAAAACCCTTTTTATATATATATATATATATATATAAATATATATATATATATGTTTAATAGCAAGAAAGAAAATAACCAAAAGTATAATAATTATTACTCCATGTAATTATTACCTATATAAATGGTAAGTATCCAAAATTATAGTGTCCATTTTTAACCCGTGCACGAAATATGACCATTACATATGGTAATTTTGAAATTAAATGGTAAGTGTCCGAAATTAAAGTAATATAAAATGGTAATTGTGAAATTAATATAATTATTATTTTTGTAAGTATGGTAAAAAATAATTATTTTTACAAGTGTCCGAAATTATGATATTAAGCACGCTATTAATGAAATCTAATTAATTATCATTTCAAATTAATTATAGTAATTTTAATTATAATAATTTCAATTAAAATTGTATATTACGTGTGATTACTGTGTCAAATTAATTATAGTAATTAAATGTTAGTTACCGTGTAAAATTAATTATATTAATTTCAAATATAGTAATTTTAATTAAAATTTTATATTATGCAATTAAAAATCTAATATTACGTGTGACTACATAATTGTATATTAATTACCGTGTCAAATTAATAATAGTAATTTTAAGTATCATAATTTTATAATGGCTATATTTTAATTATAGTGGATATATTTTATAATTGTAATATTTTACTATATTTTAATTATAGTAATTTTAATAAAAAAAAGATAATAATTAACGAAGGTATTAATTATATAACACTGTGACTACATAATTGTATACTTCGTATTAATTACCGTGTCATTTTAATTATAGTAATTTTAATTATAGTAATTATAAATATAATAATTTAAATAATTAGTAATTGTTAAGTATTTAAAGATGGAAAGAAATTAAAGTGCCTGAAATTATAGTAATATAAAATGGACTATAACTATTGTAAGAATTAAATATCCCTTAAATATATATATTTACGTTTAATAGCTAGAAAGGTAATAACTAAGAAAGGAAATAATTAACTTTCACTTTTAAAGTGTCCGAAATTATACTAGCAAGAAAGGTAATAAAAAAGGTAATAATTAACCATGGTATTAATTATGTAACCGTGTGACTAAATAATTGTATATTAGTTATTGTGTCAAATTAATTATAGTAATTTTATAATGGCTATATTTTAATTATTGTGGCTATATTTTATAATCACTATATTTTACGATATTTTAATTATAGTAATTTTAATCAAAAAAGGTAATAATTAACTAAGGTATTAATTATATAACCGTGTGACTAGATAATTGTATACTCCATATTAATTACTGCGTCATTTTATTTATAGTGATTTTTATTATAGTAATTTTAAATGTAATAATTTAAATAGTTTAAATATAGTAATGATAATTTAAATTCATTATAGCACTTTGAAAAATAATATTTTTTAAACCCCGTGTTGGAACACGGGTGTACGCCTACGTCGTACTAAACTGTGTTCGTTTTATGACAGGTTTTGATAATGCCAAACCGCCGTGACAATAACAAGGTTAAAGTAAGCAAAACCAAGGCGAAGGAACATGACATGATGATTTGAGAACCAAGAACCAAGAATCAAGAACGAAGAATTAAAATTCTATTGAATCGGTCTTAATGTGATCAAGACCGGCACAAACTTTCAAATCTTGGCTCTCTAGGCTTCTCTCATCAAATATCTTTTGCATATTCAAAAATGTTTCTCTTAAGTTTTAAACTGCCTAAAAACACTTGGAGTTTGCCCAAACCAAAAACCAAGCCATCCGGCATTCGGTCTTCGGAAACCGGCGTTCGGCTTTCGGTTATCGGCATTGGTTTTTGGCGTCCAAACCAACCAAGTGGTTTTCAACTTTTAATGATTAGTTTTTACTTATGGGCATGTTTAAATAGTTCTCCAACAAAAACGCTTCAAAAACCACCTTTCGTTTTTGGTCGTTTAGTGAAAACCATGCGAAACGGCGTAAACTTGGCTAGCCGTGGTTTTCAACTAAATGACGTGGTTTTCAAAATGTTTTACTTGATTTCTTAGCAAAATACAATAAACAAACATTTTCAATACTTGGTTTTTATTTTGGAGAACTTACATTTTTGACATCGGCTAACGGCTGACTAAACCAACCATGNGGGTCTGGCTAAACCAGCCCAACAGCGATGTTGGTGAAACCAACATCGCTGTCTGGCTTGGGTGGCTGAAAACCATGGTTTGGCGTTAAGTCTTCCAACAGCGATGTTGGATGTTAGACATCGCTGTTGAGCCAAGGTTGGATTTCCAGAAACTTCTGGAACAGCGATGTAGGCTTCCCTACAGCGCTGTCCAACCTAAGCCAAAAATACAGTGCATTGGCAGAAAGTTTTTGGACAGCGATGTTGACCCAACAACAGCGCTGTCAGGCCAAACTTCCATCTTCAAAAGTCAGACCTAACAATTGGTATCAGAGCCTAACTCGCGTCCAAACTTAACCGTTTGAGAGTAAAGCGATCATGGCCTCTTCTTCTAGAAATCTCTATGCAGGAATTGGAGAAGGTCAATCCACTTCTAGGCCACCACTCTTTGATGGCACCAACTATTCCTATTGGAAGGAACAGATGAGAATCTATATCCGTTCCACCAACTTCCAATTATGGTTGGTCATCAAAAACGGAGAGGAAATCCCTATGAAGAAAGTAGGAGAAACCACGGTTCCAAAAACCGAGGACGAGCTTGATGCTGAGGACATCAAGAAGGTTGAAAACTACGCAAAAGCTATCAACATGCTTTACTGTGCGGTTAACCCCGATGACTACCGGAAAATCTCTTGCTGCACAACCGCCAAGGAGATGTGGGACATGCTTGAAGTGACGTACGAAGGTACCGATCAAGTTCATGAAGCCAAGATCGATTTTCTCAACCAAGAGTACGAAATGTTCCGAATGAAAGAAGGTGAGAAAATCGATGACATGTTCGACCGGTTCTCAAAGATCATCAACGATCTTCATGCTCTCAAAAAGACTTACGCCAACAAGGATCTCGTGAGGAAAATCCTGCGGAGTCTCACACCCGAATGGAGGTCAAAAGCCGATGCAATCTATGAATCCATTGGAGTCTCAAATGTCACCATCGACGGGCTAAGAGGTAATCTCAAAACTTATGAATCTACTATTCTAACCCCGTCTTTGGATGAACAAAAGAAGAAAGGAATAGCGCTCAAAGCAACCAAGGAG